CCAAGAAGGGGTAAAAATGCAAGTTAATGTAACTGTTAAAGTGAAAAATTTCTAACATGCTGGATAGGAAAATCTTTCATCATTAATAAGTAAGTCTAAAAGTACAACTGCAATCACACAGAATTAGACCTGTACCATCAATTTCCAATAGTTGTTATCAATATCATTTAATATTTAGTAGTTTTAAGGAGTCAAAAAGTTTTAAGCCTCCATTTCTATTCTGCCCTGAAAAACAAACACAAGTTGTGTGTAAGTGTTGTTTAGCAAGTAATTTTCATCAGATGATTCTAAAAATATAGACAATACTGTGGAAAGTGTACCTCCACATATAATGGGAGTTTTGGTTCACTAATCTAACTAGTCTTTGGAAAATCATTCAAACTCAAACTGTTTTCTAGTACATGATTTATATACTCATTGTCCAACAGAAACGTCACAAACTAGTTTTTCAAAAATTCTAGTAGTCACATTCTAAAAAGAAAAACAAAGCTGGTATGATGGTTTATTATTATAATCCTAGCTACTTGGGAGGCTACAATTGAGAAGACAGTAGTTTGAGGGCCAGCCAGGGATAAGTTTGTAAAATAGTGTCTCAGAAAAAACTGGATGTGGTGTCACGTGCCTCTGATTCTGACATAACAGAATGCATAAATGGAAGGAAGGCCTAAGTAGGAGGATTATAATCCAGGCCAGGCAAATAGTGAAATCTTAAAAAAAAAAGACAATATGTAGAAATATACCTTATTTAACCCAACAAGCACAGAGGTCTATTTCAAAGTCAAGAGAAAAAAAAGATTACTTCACATGTTTTTCTTTGTAGTAATTCAATGTAAATTTTATAAGAACACATTTTAATTTGAACTAGCCACATATGAATGTTATATATAAGAGGCTACCATATTGGACATATAGTTCAACAGGTTTTGTTTTGTTTTGTTTTTTGAAGAGAAATAGAAGAAGCATGAGACATACATAAAACGCCAAACCTCCAGAATACAATTTGAACGTTAACTGGCCTAGATGATGCCCAAAGGTTCCTTCCAATGTTATTTTCAATGAATTGTTGCAACCACTGAAGTTCCTGGACTTCAGCTAAAGCATGAAGAATGCAATGAAATTATTTATTTATCTGAGACTGGACTCAAGCTGTGTCTGAGGCTTTCAGTGACTGCTGATGCTCTACTGCCTGAGCCAGACATCCAAATCCAGCAATTAACAAATTTATATTTTTTCCTTTTCAATGTTTTCATGCACATATTATACTTTATTTTGCCAAGGATCACATACTTAAAGACACTTCAATTTCATTCAATGAATTGTTTCATTTTTGGTTCACAATCAAGAGTCTGGCTCAGAGAATGAGTATGTTAGTCATAAAATCCTTATCCACACAGTGCCTGGTATATCAAACACTTAACCGTTAACTATTATTACCCATGCTTCATAATTACTAACCAATACACTATTCTGGAACTGGGAGGGAGGGAGAGAGGGAGGGAGAGAGGGAGGAAAGGAGGGGGAAAAAAAAGTAAACTTAAAAGAGGGAAAACAGAACCACAAAGTGAAGCATCACTACAAGAAAGACAGAAATTTCCCACAAAAGTACTTAGCACAGTAGCTCCACAATTGAGCCCTCCGATAAGCAATGCTAATTGGAACAAGACAGAAAATAAAAAGGGGAGATCTCCAGTGACAGTGAATGAATTATATAATAGTTGAATAAGTAGAAAATTAGAAAAAAAATTAAAGAGCTAGCAAAAAAAAAGTGAACTCCAGGAAAAACATAAGTAATATTGCCACATTATTTCAGCTCAGCTCAGCAACAGAAAATGCAACCATACTGAAATATAATTGTACTATGAGGAAGGATAGAAGGACGGACGGACAGATGGATACAAAGAATACTTACATCTTCATTCCAATAGAACATCATCAGATATTTTCAATTTACATATAATAAATATTACTTAGAAACATAGCAGTATAAGCCACATTGAACAGTTACAGAGCTGAGAAAGTAGATGACCTGGAAATAAAGCCAGGAAACTGTTTATTTTTGGGTATTTTAGCCCTACTTTAACTTTCTCAACCATGTATATTATATATGTATGTGTGTATCTATATGTGTACATATATATGTACATAGACAAACTGTATATATATATATATATATATATACATACATATATATATATATATATTCAGATAAGCCCAGGTTTTTGAAAAAGGCCTGATAAACAATCTTAACTAGTGGACTACATATAATATATATATAATTTATAGAAAATAATTGCCTAAACTTACCAGCCAAGTTGAGAAATGCTGACTATTCAAAAGTTTATCAACTTGTTATTCCAGATGATATTTCTTATAACTAGCAATCCCAAACAAGCCTCTATTCTTCATCACTTTGGTTTCCACGATTTTTTTAGACATACTATATATCACTCACACTGAGTCAGCAAGTATATAATTCAGACTATACGCAATCTGACTGTCACTGTCAAACAGGACAGAGGTTCTTTTATATAGTGCTGGCTAGATAACAAAATATTCTGCTAAAATGATGACACTAATTGTGTATTTGACCGCATCAACTGCTATACTTTCTACAAATGCAACATCTTATTAGTTGGTTGACATAAACATGTTGACTTCTCCAGATAGATGACAAAGCAGCTGTAGAAAGATAAACAGTAGCTAAATGAATTTGCATTTTCCTGATGTTCACTATTTTAAATATTAGACATGAAGTAAGTATGGCTGTGCTATTGGGAAGCCTGATTCGCTTTATAAGTTCTTCCTGTAAGATGAAATTTTTTTAATGAAAAAATTAGTTCTTTGTGCCAACTATGATCCCCAGGCTAACAGTTACATTCACATCTACAGGTGCATTCACCTACATATACATGTATTTACTTTTACCTAAGTGAATATAAGTATAGAAAAATGTTGCTTGATTCAAAAATAAAAAGGAAATTTATTCCAGACATAAAAGACAGTAGTAATAGTTAAGTTCATCTAAAGAAACTCAAAGTCTATTGTATTTACAAACTACCTTTCCCAGTAACAATACTAATTAAGTGCTTGATTCAAGCACCTACAATGCTAACAACAAATACTGAAGTTATAATGTATTCTAGGACTTAATTTAACTGAATTAGCCAGTAAGGGCTTCTCGAGTATTTGTAGAAACTATTTTACTGTAACTGCAAAATGTTTATGAAAGATTACCTTATTTCTCAGGTATAAAGAGTTATAGCTACTTCATTTGCCTTTAACTCTATGAAGTTTTTATGGATGTGTGTGGCCAGAGACAAATGGTTCTTACAAACTAAAGTCTCTTCATACAAAAATAAGTAAAAAGTCACCAAAGGTTTATGTCTTTAAATTTCTTTGTCCTAAGCTTTTTTTTTTTTTTTTCTGTGCAGGTGCTAAGGCTTGAACTCAGGGCTTGGGTGCTGTCCCTTACCTTTTGTGCTTAAGGCTATTCATGAAGGTTCTGTGATCATTACTTTAATCATATTAGATCCACCAGCATCATCACACTAGAAATTAGGATTTCACATTCAAATTTGGGACAGATGGGAACATTCACTTTATGGCAAATACCAAGACCATTTATGTATGTACCGCTTTGAGCCACAGATCCATTCCTGGCTTTTTATGATAGTTATTTCTTACCCAGGCTGGCTTTGAACTGTGATTTCTCAGACCTCTGTCCCCTGGGTAGCTAGAATTACAGGCATGAGCCATCAGCACCCAGTTGTCCTAAGCATTTTCAAAGAACCATAAAGAGAAGTGAAATCCCATGTGCTCCTATATTCTCAGGTTAAAAATAATTTTAACTAAGGAAAAAAATAATAATTTTAAAAGAAATCAACACCTAAATGGCCTTATGAATAAAACTTTTTTATACCAACTTACTAAATACATGTAAAAATAAATATGAAGTACAGCAAACTGGAGACAATTACTAGACTCAAAGTTTATGAGGTTCACTATCCTTCCATTTTTTTATGTTTGCAACTTTTCAAATTAAGTTTATAATGAAAATTAATGAATGCACTGTTGGGTTATTTCATAATTCATTAATTAACATACACAAAAATCTTTAAGAAGTTGAAATATTAGAAAAATGAAATACACTAAAAACAGGTTAAAATATTAAACAGTGGTTATATTAAGAAAATAGGAATGTGGGCTGGAGGCATGACTCATGGTAGAGCATCTGCTTAGCAAGTACAAAGCTGATGAATGCAATCCCCAGAAGCTCCAAAAAAGAAGAGAAAAAAGAAAACAAGAACCAGAGATTTCCTATTTTTTCTTATTGGTATACAATTCAGTAACTGTTACTGTATTCACACATACATGCAATCCTTTTTACAATGAATGATACAGCATTTTCAAGGAAATTTTATTGTGCTATATTTCATACACTGATACAATGTACTCTGACCAAGTTTATCCCCTCTATTGCTGTTTCTTATCCTTTCTCATTTTTATTTACTGACATAAAACAACTCCATTTCAGGTTGTTGAATAAGTGACTATATGTAAAGGCCCATAGCTCTTCAGCTCAAGGCTAATGCTCTACCACTTGAGCCACAGTGCCTCTTCCGGCTTTTTTCTTTTTGCTTATGTGGTGCTGAGGAATCGAACCCAGGGCCTCATGCATGCAAGGCAAGTGCTCTACCACTGAGCCACCGTCCCAGCCCCCCTTTCTCCTTTTTAAAATCATTTCTTAACTGGCTTTATTATTCTACTTTCACATGAATATAAAGTACTTCAATCCTATGTAACAGCCCTTCACCGATCCTCCCCCACCCCATTGGTTCCCACCTGAGATTTCTCTATTCTTCTATCTTTCAATACCTCTTCCCTATTCTAAAAAAAGTGTTGATTTGATGAAAGGGACAAACATTTATTAAATATTGCTAAAATATAAAGAGGATGGCTCCCACTTTAAAATGTAATGAGTAAACACATCAAGGACTTACTTGTTCTTCTCTTTTCTGCTTGCGTAACTGCAGTCCTTCTTCCTCCCTCCTCCTGCGCATCTCATCAGGATTCAGAGATTTGTTCTTGTAACTTTTTAGGCGAAAGTTCTCTTTTCCTGGGGTGGTCATGATTTCTATAAGAACAGAGAACACATGAGCTTACTTAAAGAGTTCTATTTTGTAGCTGCTCAGCCTTAATTACATACACAGGCCCAGACTCATTCAATAGGGACATCAAAAAGTTCCTTTTTTACTCCTATTAAAAGGTACAATACAATCATTTTAGGACTCACACATGTGTGCAACCCTTACCACAATTAGTTTTACAGTATTTTCATCACCTCAAAAAGAAATCTTGGGGCTGAAAGTATAGTTTAAATGGAAGCGTCCCTGGCCTAGTAAGCACAAAGCCCCAGGAGTTCAAACCCAGGACTGCCAAAAAATAAACAAGAACCAGAAATCCTGAATTGGTTAGCTATTATTCTTACTCTGGACATTTCATTTCATATGGACAAAATCATGTAATACACAATCTTTTGTGACTAGCTGCTTCTTCATGTGGACTAACATACACAAGGTATATTTACACTGTAGCATGCATCAGTATTTCGTTCTTTTTAGGGCTAAATATTCCATTGTGTGCATATACCCAATTACATTTATCCTTTCAACTAACAGGTATTTAAACTACTTTTACCTTTGGCTATTATGAACAATGCTTCCACATACACCTATAGACATTACATATATACAGATGTGTAAGCATGTATGTATTTATGTATGGGTCAAATTAAAAGTCATGACAACTCCATTTCCTCACTTGAGGAACTACTCAACTATATTTCCAAAATGGCTTTATCATTTTGTATTCCTATCAGTAGCATATGAAGGCTACACTTTCTCTATATCACCAACACTTGGCTATTATTGACTTTTTTTAACCAAGCCATACTAGTAGGGATAAAATATCTTATGGTTTTGATTTGTAACCCCCAGATGAATAAAGTAAACCATCTTTTTAAGTAATTATTTGCTATATATTGCCCACTAAAAGCTATTCAAATCCTTTACCTATTTTTAAATTGGATAACTAGGTTATCTTTTTACTGAGTCATAATAGTTTAACATTTTAGATAAAACATTTCAACTATATGCCTAACAAAAATGTCCCCCAATCCTTTACCTTTCCACCCCCCCCTTTTTTTCTATAGGTACTGAGATTTGACCTCAAGGTCTCCATACTGGTTAGATAGGTGCTTGACCACCTGAAACACTACCCCCAATTCACATTCTTGATGGTATTCTTTGGAGCATAAAAGCTTTTAATTTTGATGAAGTCTAAACTAATCTACTTTTTCCTTTTTGGGGGCAATACCAGGCCTTGTGCTTAATTGGCTTGTTTGGCTGGTCCTCTATGACTTGAATTATACTTCTAGCCCTGATTTTTGTTGGATATTTTGGAGATGGAAGTCTCTAAAACATTTCTGCCCAAGCTGGCTTTAAACTACCAGTTTCTTTGACTCTCAATCCTTAGTATCAAGGGTGACAGACATGGGCCACCAGAGCCCAGACTGGTCTTTCTCTTATTCATGCTTTTGGTGTCAGATCTAAGAATCAGTAATCTTGTTTCCTTACAGTTTTATTTTCGTTTACCTCATACAATTAAATCTGAGATTCATTCTGAATTAACTTTTTGTACATGGTATAAGAGCCAAGCTTCATTTTTTTTTTCATGTAGCTGGGCAGTTTACTAACATTATCTGGTTAAAAAAAAAACTATTATTTCTCCTTTCAATGGTCTTTGTATTTGCTATAAACTGAATGTGCCCATCTGTCCCATATTTGTATGTGAAATCCGAAATTCCTAGTAGGATGATGTTGAAGGTGGGTCTGGTGTGATTTTAAAAAAAGAACATCAGTCAGGTGTGATGCCTCACACCTGTAGTGTCAACATTGAGAAGGCTGAGGCAGGAAGACTAATGTTCAACACCAGCTTGAGTTTGACCAGTCTGCCTTTATCTCAAAGAAGAAATGACAGCGTCTATGAAATTAGGTGCAAGTTCTCAACAAATATAAATCTGCTAGTACCTTGGTCTTGGATTTTCAAGCCTCCAGAACTGTAAGAAATAAATGTATGTTATGATTATTAAATTTCTGATCTTTATTACCTGCCAAAATGGTATTCAATAAGCAGCTGTGTGTGTGCAAGTGGGTGTGATTTGGTTTACGTACATGGTTTCTTGTTTCTCAATTCCATTGACCCATATATGCATATCATTTCAGCAATTCCACAATGTCTTGATCATCACTGCCTTGTAAAAAGTTTTAGAATGAAGAAATATTTAAATATTTAAGTTCTTTTACAAGATTGATTTACCTTTTGTGAATTCCTTACAATTCCACACCTATTTTACAATCAGCTTGTCAACTTCTATAACGTCCGTCTACTCTGCCAAGGATCTGTACTCACTGTAGGTAAGTGTATGGAATACTGCTACCTCTAAGTACTACACACTGAGACTTGGCTGACTGTTTCTAAAATGTGGAAGAGTTGGGGATGCAGCTCAGGAGTACAGCACTTGTCTAGGGTATATGAAGCTCTAGATTAGATCCCTCACATATAATAGTAAGATAAAATCTGAAATGCATATCAAATTTTATCTGGTAGTTATTGAAATAACTGTTTTTCTTCTTTGAATTACTAAATACACCAAGTTATACTGACAGATTCCTCAAAAATGATCCTGATTGGGGAAAACATGGTGTTGCACACTTTTTACATTCTTCTATTTAAATAATCTCATTGTTATTATTAAAGTGTTTTGAAAAGAGGCTACCAATTCTTAAATCAGGTAATAAGTACATTTCATTTTTTGGGGTAGGGGGGACAATGTCACTCCTTCCTTTACTTTCTCCCAGCTCCCTCCCCCACCACTTCCCTCCTTTTTAAATTCTATTGGCTAATTTTTTCTTAATCACCTCTACACCAGTATCCATAGCTAACAAGATACAGTTTCTTCTCTTTCAGGGAGAAAGGGTTACTATATTTATCATGGTAAAAGATTTTTTTGGTATATTTTCAATTTATGACTTCTGGAAGAGATGTATAACCAACCAGGTATTTGTGATGGAAGAAAGGCAACTATTAGGAAATAAAAAGTAAAATGTGTCAGATGTACATACAGAATTTTGATAGTAGCAGAAAAGCAGGCAATCAGGGAATTGCCCATGCAACTTGTATATGGCAAAAGCTCATAAGCCAAAAATCCGTCAATAAATTTAAAAAAAACAACAGGAAAATAGAGGAAGGGGGGGGCTACAAAAGAATGAAAGTGCAGAGGTTACTGAACCTTTTTGGCTCCATGAAACAAAAAGAAGACCCACCAATCAGAAAGCTATCATCTTCAAGTACTCCAATTCTCCAAATTTAATCCAAAACCAAGCTCTTTAACCCTAAAGATGGCTGAGGTGTGCTGAAGTACTGTTTTCCCCATGACATGTCTACGTTGCATGCCCTTTCTACCATTTTTCTTTTCTAATAAATTCTCAACTGCCATCCAAGTGCATGCCCAGACAGGAAGCAAAATTCTAGTTCAAATGGAGCTGGAGGTTTAGCTGTAGAGTGCTGCAAGCAATCATGAGGCTCTAAGTTCACTTCCAGTGCCACCAAAGCTACACAACAAAACCTACCTAATATCTAACCCGTTATGATACAAAACTGAATAAAATCAAGCTTTAATGACTGCAGTTCAATACATTACAGATAGCCTATGTTTGAATCCCACCTCTACCAGTCAGTGAAGTGTAAGGCAACTTACCTCATCATGCTGTACACATATACTCTCCTCCACAGAGTGGTTTTGCAAAGATAATTAAGGGAAACCAACTCACTTAGCCTTTACACATTTGTGGATTCTATTACTTTCTGTGAGTTTGTTCCCCAGCTACAAACCCCATTCTGATCTCAAGCCGCTTTGCTGGTCAGAGCATAGAGATACATGGACAACTCAGCACATATCCCCATTAGTGCTGGAAAATCAATCATGATGAGTAAGCAGACTTATCTTTGTATATGAAGGACAGCATTATTCTTGTTATATGAAGGAGATTATCTCTTTTATCCACATTCTGGATTAGTGCCTGCTTTCAAGAATGGTCTCAATTAGTCTACAACATTAGATCAGAACCATTTTTTCCCTGAGGTCTATTTTATAGTGTTAACATTTTTAAAAAGAAAAACAAACTACATCCCATCAGTCCTAATCCCTGCTCTTTCAGTGTACAACCTCAAAAGTTTTCTAATACCCTAATTGGCAGCTAATTAACTTATTTACTATTCCCAATATTTTCTTCCATTATTATATCTAAATTCCTAATCCTAACAAAGTACAAAGATATTTAACACAAAATCAAAAAGCCCTAGAGTTCTTTATCACTAGATTACTCATCTTTACTTGCATAGCCAATTAAAAGTCTTAATTCATTTTATGTACAGTATTTATATATAGATACTTCTAAACACAATCTGATGGACATCATAAATTACTAAGGCTTTTATTAACTCAATAACCCTGTGCTAAAACCATGGCGATCAAAAGTAAAGTATTACCTTATTCTCAAATGTACAAGAAAAACATAAAAGATCAAAATAATCAAACCAACAGAAAAACAACAAAAATAACTCCAGAAACCTGCAGCGATTCCAAACTAATACAAAGCAAGTCATAATACAGTTGAGCTTAAGAAAAATTACAAAACTTAAACACATAGCACATTATAAGTCACCTAAAGTTAAAATTTTAAAAAAGCAATTTAAGCCAGGTGCTGGTGGCTCACACCGGTAATCCTAGCTACTCAGGAGGCTGAGATCTGAGGATCTCAGTTCAAAGCCAGCCCAGGCAGGAAAGTCCGTGAGACTCTCATCTCCAATAAACCACTGGAAAACCGGAAGTGGCGCTGTGGCTCAAGTGGTAGAGAGCTCGAGCTGAAGAGCGCAGGGATAGCGCCCAAGCCTGGAGTTCAAGCCCCACGACCGACCAAAAAAAAAAGCAATTTAATGAAGTCATTTGTTAATTTTTAGAAAAAAAAAATTTGACTCTAGTCTGTCTTAGGGGGCGGAGCACAATGTAAGGTT